TTATTTAGTTAACTTTATTTTTTTAAAATAAATGATCATTTATCTTTATTTTAAAAAATAAAGGATCTATTTACTTTTATTTTTTAAAAGTAAAGGATTCATTTACCTTTATTTTCTAAAGTAAAAGTAAAGTACCACCCCTATTAATGAGATAAGATTATTAAATGATACAAGCTGTGATAGAACATTCATTGCGAATTTAGGCTTCATGTTCAAAATTGAAAGCGATTGTAGTTGAGAAACATTTTCAGCAAGTGGAAATAATTGACAAAAGAGTCTTATTTGTCCTGGTGTTTTATCATCATCACAAAGACATAATGATCGCCATCGATGCATATCATGATGTTGAATAACATAATAAAATTTATCTTTAGTTAAAGATTTGAAATCTAATTTATAAACCCAATTGATAAGTAAACGTTGAAAACGAGTGTTTAATCGTGAAAATCCATAGATAATATCTGCACTATTTAGATATTGAAAAATTTCTAGGAAAATTTCATTAGGTAATTGTTCGAGAAATTTTAAGTTACTTTCGAAGTTTATTGAGACACTCATATGTGATGAGAATCCTAATATGATTGTTGTTATGCGTCAAAAAAGTAAATCTTTTGAATGTGTCGAATGAGTATATTTCATGACGCTTTGTTTCTATATTATGCTTCAAACAATATGGGTTCACCAAGGGCATATTAGAAAAAAAAACATCAGAATCTAAAAATAGACATTTATGGTCTTATTTACCTTATCTTACGATCCCAGTTCGTCCAGTACATATTAGAAAAAAAGTAAAATTACAATTGTGTATGATTGATAAACAAAGAAGATATCTGAATAACAAAAGAAGAGTAGGGTGTGGGTGTGTGAGTGCGAATGTGTTCTTCTTAGAGGAGGACCCCCACCCCCACCCCCACCCTACTCTTCTTTTGTTATTCAGATATCTTCTTTCTTTATCAATCATACACAAATGTAATTTTTCCTTTTTTTCTAATATGTACTAGACGAACTGGTATCGTAAGATACGGTAAATAAGGGTGTGGGTGTGAGTGTGGGTGTGGGGTGTGGGAGTGTGAATGTGTTATTCTTAGAGGAGGAGGGTGGGTGTGGGTGTGGGTGTGGGTGTGGGTGTGGGTGTGGGTGTGGGAGTGTGAATGTGTTCTTCTTAGAGGAGGACCCCCACCCACAGCCACAGTCACACCCACACCAACACCCACACCCACACCCACACCCCATCATTTCCTAAAACAACTGTACCGATTTTCCAAAATATGCAACAATTACGCAGTTTACACATATATTATCCAACTTGGCGTGATAAGTCATATAAGTCTGCAATAACTTGGTTTCAACAATGTGTATATGAAATTGATGCTTCTGATTGTATATATACTCCGGATGATGCTAATTTTTATGTATGGATCAAGGATTGAACAAATTATGTTCCAATACGAAAAAATTTTAAAAATCAATTTTAGGGTGTGGGTGTGGGTATGGGTGTGAGTGTGGGTGTGGGTGTGGGTGTGGGTGTGAGTGTGGGTGTGGCTGTGGGTGTTGGTGCGGGTGTGAATGTGGCTGTGGGTGTAGGTGTGCGTGTGGGTGTGGGCGTGACTGTCGCTGTGGATAGGGCTCTGGTAGATTTTATATTGATACCATCACCACAGCCATACCGATATCCACACCCATACACCCAAACGACACCCACACCCACGTTAGCTGGTACATTAATATCATAAACTGAAGCCTCTATAATTTCTTTGAAAAACCATCTACAATTTATTACTATCATATGGGATGATAACGCAAAATTAAAATATGGAGTATGATACATTCGGAAATTATTCATCGTCATTCTTCCGTTGAATTCGTGACCAAAAAGGTAGCTGTCTTCATTCAGTAAGAAAAATGGAAACTATCTGTTCAATAGTCACATGTGCCGGCAAGATAAAAGACAAACAAATAGAATAAAAAAAAGGCGCCACTATGATGAAGGAAGAAAAAAACGAAACATGGATAGCGAATCATATAAGGTGATGCTTGTCACGAATTCGAAGGGCATTGAAGGAATCAGTCGTATTTTCAATGAAAGGAAGGCAAGCTACTTGATCAACACTTGTCTTGAATTATGAGATGACAGACAAACATAGAGAAATTTTAAAAAAGCAATACTATTCTAGCACAAACATAAAAAAACATGGATAGGTAATTATTCATGGTCATGTTTGCTATGAATTTGAAGTGGATTGAAGAAATTACTCGTTTTGTTAATGATAGAAAGGCAAGCTACTTGATCAACACTTGTCTTGAATGATAAGATGAAAGACAAACATAGAGAAATTAAAAAAAAAAAGCAAAACCATTCTGAAAGAAGGGTGGGTGGGTGTGGCTGTGAGTGTGGGTATAGAATGTGGGTATAGAATGCCAAGAACGCACCCACAACC